AAATGTTGCCAGGTCACTGCATTCAGCTCTTCAAGCAAGAGGGAACATTGGACAAGAAAAGTAGACTTATATTCACTCTGCGCTGTATTGTAGGAAAAGTACCAGCAAATGTATAAATCTCAGTGACAAAAACCACAGGCATTAACAGAAATATCCTCCTTTGCCCCATCTAATTGCTAACCTTCATTCTGGAGTCAGTCTCTTAGCTGACTTGGGGGGCTGGTACTGTTAACAGAAGTTGGTGATACCCATCATTGATTTAAATCTGATGGCCCAAGATGGTAGTGACCACCACCAAATGCTTGTGCAGCAGTTAAACTCAAATCAACTAGTTGTCAGTTGTTAGTAGATATGCATTCCCATAAAAAACAGCACTGCAGCTGGCAGTCCACGTAGAGAAGCCAAAGGATTGAATATGCCTGAAGAGAGAACTTTCACCACTTTGAAGTTTCCTTCAAAGCAGGATTATTTTGAGAAATTTTGCACTGTTGTTGCTAATTATGTTCTGTTCTTAAAAAATGGAGACTCCAGTACTGCCTGTTTGGCATCTTATCATGAGCACTTGTAAACCTACCTAGATTTAAAAGCATGCACATTTGCCAAAATGTCCAATTCCTTGTTGCCTTTTTCATCGTAGTGACCCTACTTGCAGCATCCACATACTTCCTATTTTCATGCCAGATTATTCCTATAGCCTTGATGTTACAAAGACTTGATTCAGTGCTTTGTTTTTAAACATGAAAGACGTTTCAAGTAATGCAATGGGCTCGGTACAGGACCCCATCTCTAGTCACTTTACACTACTGACATGACACAAAGAAACTACTGTGAAAGGGTGGCCAAATGATACTCCTTTTTGCTTTCTCAGTTGCTGGGAAGCTTGTACAGCCCTTAAGGACTCAAGATGAAAATGTCACCCTCAGTTTGATACTGTTTGCAAATGTATTTGAAAGCTAACTGGCTCATTGCTTCTCCCTCCAACACCCCTGTCCTTCCTTCCCTTACACACTGAAAAAAGAGTGAAAATATTTTAAAAGTTGTGTTTTTGTGATTGATCCTTTGTGTACAGTAGGTGATGGGAAAAGAATGTAAGCTTCAATATGAGCAGCAAGAAAAGAAGAGTGGTTTTGTCCTACACACATTTCTCTTCAGTAATACGTGTTCTGGGAAATACACAGCTGTCAAGAACATGAAAGGTAAGTTTTAGTGACAGGTTTCAAAGGTTTCTTTCACCATAAAAACTCCCAGTTTAATTATCAAAAAAGCTCCTCCCTCTAAAACAATGGTTCTCAACCTTTTTAGATGCAGCGTACACCTCATTAGACTCAAGGAACCCCTGGGAAAAATGCCAGCTCTTAGTTTCTCTTGTTTTTTGATTACAAAAAAATAATAAAGCAATTCTTCTGTTGCAAAGCACACAGAAAGACCACACCAGGGCAGAATGTATTTAACACTGTAGCTTCCTATTAGAAATCTCTGGGATAGTTTGTAAATCATGTTTTCAAACTCAAGAGTGCTATCGTTGCACAGCACCTCAGGGCACTCTTGAAAGAATCTCAGGGTCCCCAGGGTGCCACAGCACCCTGGTTAAGAAACACTGCTTTCGAAATACTAAAAGTAGTGATAGTTGCACTCTTGTGTGTGGAGGGTGGGGGGGAAGGGGAAATACTGCTTGAAGGCGTCATTGCCATGCCATGCCATTTAACAAATCTGTGCCTATATATTTTTTTTTTTAACTTGACATCTGCTTTTCTCGCCTCTAACCCACTGTTTTCTGACGTCACTTTTGCTGTTTTATTTCTGAGAATGTAACGTTCAGGAAATCAGAACTGATGCAGTAAGCGACTGGTGTGGGAATAATGAAGCGAGTAAAAATGAAATCTTTCATTGATTTTTCTTGAAAGGAAAGGTGACCCTACTCAGAGGGAAGCCGTAACCATGGTAGCAGCTGAAGTGATGGAAAAATATCTTGTTGTTGTTACAGTAGGAGGCGGCAATGAACATTTTGAGCTGAAGGTTTTCAAGCCCATGCCTATAAGCTTGAGACATTTTAATTTAATCAGCTCTGACTTTGAAGGTTGGTTGTCTTACTGTATTTCTCTAGGGGAGAATTTCAGTGAGAACACACAAAGTAATTGGGCCACACAAGCACCAGAGGAGCAGAGGGATATTACTGTTAGAGGAAAGATTAATTCCTCTTGATAATATTAAAGTGAATAGGTGACAACTATCTAAAGCTCAACCATCAGTCCCAAATATATAGGGGTTGATGATCATTTATCTGGAGTCCCCTTTGCATCACTCTGGCCATGTAACAGGTGAGATGGAATAAAGTAGGTTAACGTGGGACTGTGTAAATGAGAATTTAGGCCAAAGTGCATACACAGACGCTTTCAAGGGCTTTAGAAAGCACCATTTCTCCATATCCTCATGGAGGGAAAAAGACATAAAGACCAAGGTTGAACAACTCTTATAAAACCAAAGCCAGTGAGAGAAGCTGTTGATGCTGGCTTTAGACTGAGGAAGTCCCCATGTCAGCTAAGTGCTTGGAATATTCCTTTTATCTCACTAACATCTGCTCAGCCCCCATCTCCTTTCCCCGCACCCATCTCTGCCACTGTACCTAAATAGGGCTCCTGCAGTGACCTCACTTGCTGGCAGTGAAAGTCACCCTCCATAGCAATTCATGTCACTCCAGAACATTTGTAGCCGGGTTCTCAATAGCACTGATCTTCCATGTGGATGTTTGGTGGGATATAGTGGGGCTCCCCATGACTGGAGCCAGTTACAGCTTCCTGATCCAGCTCTAGCTAACCACAGCAGTAATTAAACAGCTGGGGGCCTACTCCAGTTTATACCAGAGATATACAATTATACTAGTGAATGGCAATTACAAGCCGAAATCTGATGCTGGGAGTAGGAGCTCCTTCACAGCCCGACACCTTTAAAGCGGTCCTTTGGGCTAAGGGAATTTTCCATTGTCTTGCTTCTACCAAAATCTGGGTGCTTTGCTAACTAACTGAAAGGAAATGGACTAGACTAAAGAGTCTAGACACCATATACAGGATACTCTCCATTCCAGTCTTTCAGATGATAAATATTTGAGTAGCTTTATGTATAATATTGATAATCTACAGATAACAAGAGAAAGACACTAGAACCTTAATAATGAAGTCACTATCTTTTGGGGTTGCTTTTTTGTTCGTTGGTTTGTTTAACATAAATGCCTAGCTGAAGAGAGAACTATTCAATATAGATAGACAATCACTGGAAAATATGAGCTATCAGTCCAAATCAGCCTTAAGAATATTTTTACTGAATATGATGCGCTTATGTCACTTCCAGCACTGTAAACTCATGTGCTGCTTTGAGGGTCAAAGCAAATGGTTACAGGCTCTCCACATAATAGTTTTTCAATAGATCTATCAGGCCACTGTCCATCTAACTTAGGATCCTAATCTTTCATTTTTCATCAATAGAGACTGACTTGCAGTGTGGAAACCAAATGTTTTGGTGACGGCTGTACTGTGATTCATAAAATGTGTTATAATCACTGATCTAATAAGTAACCATTTTAAAATTAAAACCACTTGTCCTTGTAATGGCAAGTAGTAACTTGTCATATGCATAGGCAAGAAGGCTCTGCCTGTTTGATGGAGGCTGTCTTATGTAATTGATCTCTGGAGTAATGCATGTCAGAAATGAAATTGCTCTCTCATGCATAAGAGACAAAAAAAACTGCAGGAAAATATCTCAACCATTATTAGCCTGCAGTTTCAAAGATGACCTTTAAAAAAAAATACATGACAACTGTTCTGTTTACCATAGCAAGGTGAGCAAAAAGCTTTTAGCAAGTGGCCTTAGATCAATGGGTCTCAAACTTTTTAGACTCAAGGCACCCCTCAGAAAGTACCAGCTTAGTTTTCACCTTTTTTTTGACTAAATAAAAACACTAGATCAATTCTTCTGTGGCAAAAAAGCTCAGAAAGAGCACACCAGGTCAGAATGTTTTTAGCACTATGGATTCCTATATGAAATCTCTGTGTTTATCTTGTGAATCATGTTTGCATACTTATCAGTGCTGCTATTGCATTGCATCCTGGAAAGACCTCAAGGTACTCCAGGGTGCCATGGAACCATAGTTGAGAATCACTGCCTTAGATGGTTTCAGTACACAATAATTTTAATTTTAATTAAAATAATCATTTTAATAATTTAACAGTTGACTATACTAAAATAGCCCTTAAAGAAATTAGGAAAAACTTAGTCTACTCTCTGGGATTTTCTGGCTCTGTTTTTCGCTAGACAAAAGGGAAATTGAAGACAAGAAATGGACTTCTTTTCTTTCCCTTGCTTCTCTTTCAACAGCCATCTTTATGAGGCCAGGAGAGAGCTTTCTTACCATAACTGAAAAGCAACCTAGGCTCTTTGTGGAGTATGTATATCATTCAAAACAAAGGAATCAAAGGATAGGGTGAAAGGAAGAACTAGCAGAGGAAAGGGAAGAATTGAAAATCAACCAGAATATTCAGGGAGAGAAGAATATGTGGATAGGTGAGAATAAGGAAGAAGCTGAATCATGGTGATTTCTGAGGGGAGAAACTGGTGTGGGGCCTATGGGTAGATAAAGGATTGAAAATAACAGAGATTAGGACTGCATAAACAGCACTGGCATGCAAAGGACTCCCAGTTGGCGTTTAAAAAAAAACAAACCAACAACTCTTTTCAAGGGCCAAATCAGTTTCAAATTCACTTGGGCAAAACCCAAGTTCCAAGTAGTCAAGTTCCAAATTTCAGCTGAGCATAGCTCAATCATTCAAGTCTTTGTGTGTGGCTCTACCATCGGACAGGTATCCTGCCTCTCAGATTCAGCAGCCTTGGGCTTCAGATACTCCCCAAATCCATGGCAGGCATCCTACATGAAGCCCCAAGCCTGGTGGCCTTGAGATTCAGATGCTTCCTAGTCTCTTTGCTTGTAGCCAAAAAGTTGAAGAATAAGTCATGGGGAAGCATGAATGCAGTCCCCCATTGCCACAAAACTGTGAGTCAAGTTTCCCACATTCAGGGAAATTTGCAGGGGAAAGCCTGCCCAGACTACAAGGGATAGGCCTCACCCTGGGAAAACCACCTGTGTGTTCATGGGATCTCCATTACCTTTGTCTATTTCATTTGTATCAGACTGGTTAAAAAGACAAGCATCTTTCAAGCAAGATACAAACTTTAAACAATCTTTATAGACCGTCTTTGCATATCACAATACACATCTTTTAAAATGGCAAAGAAAGATTGTTAAAAAACCTTTGTCAAGACCAAACTTCTGAGAGTTAGATTAACATATTGAAAAGCATAATAATATCTTCAAGAGAAAAAAAAAAGTGACCAGTTTTTCAGGAATCTTTGATTATTCCTTCATGGCCATCAGCATCCATATAATATTTATAAATATATTCTAACTGCATATATAGCTTTGAGTAGTGTTCCTGAAATCCATTCTTTACTTAGTAATAGAGATAATAGCACTCTAATGAAATGTTGTCATCTAGGCTAGGGACAGACATTCGAAAAGCCTGAGCCTGAATTGATTCAATTTTTGCAGGTTAGTCTAACCTGGCTATGCTAAGTCAGTTTGTAACTGCACAGACATCCCAGACATGCAGACACATGCTTTCAGTGGCTCAGGCTAGAAGCCTGGGGGTGCTAGAGCAGCCCTCTCTTCCTTTCTACAGAACTGAGCTGAGGGGGGCATGGCCAGGCCCCAGTAGGATGCTCTGATTAAGGAGGGGTTCTCCCCATCCTGACCAGCCCAGCAGAAAATTGATAACACAGTGTTTATCAACCCTAACTCAGTGTTTACCAGCTCATTAAGAAAACAACAAAGGGACATTACCAGCTACCTGTTGATTCTGCTTTTTCCTGTAACCAGCATGTGGTCTGCTAGCTAATGCTGAGAGGTGTCTGTAAGGGACAGGGGAATGCCTGCTTAGCAGAGAGTGGGGAGGGGAGGGAAGCGGGGAGCAGAAGCCAGGAAGACATCTGCAGTCTCTACCGGAGCTCCAGCCAGGGAGCAGAGGAGAGGGGCCAGCTCTGCTGTGGAGCAGAGAGCCCTGCCCTGCCCAGCCCAGAGAGCATGCTGGGATGCTGGAGGAGTATGATTTAATTTAAACCAGCAAGGGGTCTGGGACAGACAATGCATGAACTAGTTTGAGCCAAATCAGTTAAGTCAGATACTACATTCAACCAGGTTTCTCTCAAACCAGTTTTAGCCATTTTCGAACTAGTTTATGTGCACTGAATGTCTCTTCTGTTACAGGTTCAAACCAGTTTCTTATCACTTAAACCGGTTTGTGTGTAATGTCTGCCCCTAGCCCTATAGATCTCAGCTTGCTTTACAAAAATGCTTTAATATACACCAATCTGGATAATGATACTATTAAAAAAAGTCTTTAGGTTATAAAGTGGCCCAGAATCAAAATGTTTCATAAATATTGGAGACATTCTGTAAATACACACTGCAAAGGGAAAAGTTGTGATGCAGAGCATATTCCTTTGCTCAAGTAGCTCTGTCAAATGGGTTAGTTACGTGTTAGGCTTTTTATTTTAAAATCCATGTACTAGAACCTGAACACCTTAATAGCTGCTTCTAAGAATGTGCTCATGTTCTTTAGATTAAAAATGTATTAAACACAGTAAAGCTCCGAAAAGATGTCTGCATTTCCTTCACTGATAACTGTGCAGTCAGAATATAAGCCAACAGTGAATCAACAAACTAATGAGAGAATCTTTGATGCGGGCAATGGCACCGAATCCCCAGGTAGGTAAAAGCTTGAGGCAGATGGCTATTAATCTCAGTATAGAAAATGATGCTCCTTCAAAAAATATACATATAGGAAGATAGCATGAGGAAGCCAAGCAGCAAATTACACTTAAATATTGTATATTAATTAAATCAATGATGCATAAGCTTTCGTACACCTGAGCTCACTTCATTAGATATTGTCTGATGCAGTGTGCTCAGGCTCATGAAAGCTTATGCATCACTGATTTAATAGTTTGCAAGGTGCATCCCTACCCTGCCTTCTGCCTGACTTCAGACTAACACCACTAACTACCTCCTTTTTAAACACTGGCCTTGGTTAAAACGTTTTCTCTTTCTTTAAAGATCAAGAATTAGACTAAAGTGCTCTAGTGCAGCATTTCACTATGTTCTGAAATAGTTAGGAGACATAAAAGGGATGGTGCCTGGGAATTTTTTGTTTAACAGACATTTCTAACTGCTTGCCTATTTGTAGTTCATTTTGAAGAACTCTAGTGCTAATTCATGATACTAACCCAGATATAGATACCTGTACAGTGAGTGTGTTGACACCTGCCTTAGATCTGGGAGCAGTTTACTCACAAGTAAAGTTTTGTAGATGCCTAGGCAGGCATCTACAAATACAGGGAAGTGGGAGTAGATTTGCCGCTAATAGCAGCACACTGCTTCTCCTTCTTGGGACCCTGGGCTGCTGCCACTGTCAGGGGAATTCTAGGCTCCCCCTGGATGCTAGCCCAGGGGCTGACAGGGAGCACCAGACCAGAAGACAGCTGTCTCCTGGCCAGGGCTGGAACATTGCTCCCTGCCCCACTGGGGGGCTGCCTGCTGCTGGGACCGGGACAATGCCCCCCTGCCCCAGCAGCAGGGAGCTCCTAGCCCCAGCGCCCTGATCAGAATTCCCCGCCGAGCTGGGGGCTCACTATTAGCTGCCACACTGGCAGATGGAGCAGGGGACTGCCCGACCCCTACAGCTCTTTCCAAGCCCTGCACCTCGATTGTCCAATTGGGGCACAGGGCTGCAATCATGCCCTGGGGGCTGGAGAGCTTGTTCCTCACCCATATCCATGATCATGGTGCAGGTATGGAACAGGCTCCCTAGCCCCCACCAGCAGGGAGTTCCCAGTGCCAGCTCCACAATTGTGGGGTTGGCACTGGGAGATAAGGATAAGGATTCATAGATTGTAAGGCTGGAAGGGACCTCAGAAGATCATCAGGTCCAGCCCCCTGCACCAAGCAGAAAAGATAACTGGGGGTCAGGTGACTAGAGCAAGGTGACTGTGTAGTCTCCTCTTGAAGATTTCTAGGGTAGGTGATTGCACCATCTCTGGAGGTAGCTTATTCCACAGGCTGTACACCCTCACTGTGAAGAAGTTTTCCCTAAAGTTGAGCCTGAATCAATCTTCCAAGAGTTTGTGGCCATTACTCCTAGTTTTCCCCTCGGGTGCCCTGGTAAACAGTTGCTCACCAAGCCCTTTGTATACTCCCCTAGTGTAGCAGTAAGCAGCTACCAGGTCCCCTCTCAGCCTTCTTTTCCTCCGGCTGAAGAGTTCCAGATCCCTCAGCCTTTCCTCGTATGGCTTCCCTGTTAAGACTCTGATCATACAGGTGGCTGTTCTTTGGAACCTCTCAAGCTTGGCCACGTCCTTGTTAAAGTGTGGTGCCCAGAACTGGACTCAGTACTCCAGCTGCAGTCTCACCAGTGCTGAGTAGAGCAGAAGAATCACCTCCTTAGCTTTGCTGGAGATGCATTGATTGATGTGTGCCAGAGTATTATTTGCCCTACTGGCTACAGCATCGCACTGCTGGCTCATATTCATACTGTGGTCTATTATTACCCCCAGGTCCCTTTCATTCATGGTGCTAGTCACTTTGGTGCCACCAAGCCTGTAGGTGTGTTGGAGGTTGCTCAGACCTAGGTGGAGTACTTTACATTTCTTGACGTTGAACTTCATCAGATTCTGATCCACCCAGTTTGCTAGCCTGTCTAGGTCCACCTGTAACTGTACCCTATTTTCAGGAGATAAGGATAAAGATAAAGATTTCCCAGCACCCAAGACCACGAAGTTGATGCTGGGAGATAAGGATCTCCCAGCCCCCTGCTCCCAGATCATGATGGGGAAACGGGGGCTGTGGCACAAGGATCTCTCCTCCCCGGCTCCCTGATTGCAATCTCAGAGCAGGAAGCTTGGAGCTCCCTGCTCCCAGGGCAGAAGGACATAGTCCCTTCCTGGGCTTTGGTGATGGAGTCCACCTTGGGGGCAGGGAGCAATCTCCCATCCCCTGGTGGCTGGCTGACCAGGAGCAGATTTGCTCCCACTCAGGTGTCTACACAAACACTACTGCGCAGTAACTAACTGCAACTAAATTTGCTATTTTCATTTGCAGGTAGCAAATTTACTCATGATTAGTGAGGTAAATGCACATGCTTACTGCACAGTAAACTATGCTACTGCACAGTAAAGCATCTCATGTTTATGCACCCAGTACTACCATTGATATGAGAACAAGTTTGAAAGTGTCTTAGGTACAGATTATCCAGGGCATGTGGGTCATTTTACTAACTATGTATGAGTCTTTTACAGAGGCAGTCTTGAATGCAAATGAGTAATGAATTATAGTTGATAAAATAGTATTTGCCATGATGTACTACCTTGCTGTGGTCCAGTTCAATCATTCTTTGCATATTGAACAACCTGAGCTTTTTCTGAAACTCATATAGCAGACACTGTTGATGAATATGAATGTAGAAAGCTGATGAGACATGGAATAGCCAACACACGAGGAAAAAAAAGTCAGTATCCAGAAAGAGGAATTCTCATACCAACTCCAAACAGGGGGCCAGAGGGATTTCTCTTCAAGTTGAGATGTGTGTGGAGATACAAATTTAATGAACAGGAAAGGGGGATATGGGGGATCTGCTAAGGGTTTCTCCCAATAATTCAATATTAATATGATTATCACATGAATGAAAATAAAGAAAATAAAGATCATTCAGTCAAAAATCAACAGGCAAAAGTTGGCCTAATTATGTAGGTAAAATCTTGAGAAATGATATTCCTAGTATTTATTTGATTTTTGTTAGCCTTTGTGCTGCAAGCTTAATTTATCATTATGTGTGTGTGTACATATATGTGCGTATTATTTAATGAATTGTCTCACTGATTAATTAGTGAGAGAGTGATGCTGTAGCTGTGATAGTCCAGGCATGATGTTGTAGCCAGGATGGTTCATCAGGTTCAGACGTGATGAAGCATGTCTTGCATTTAAAATCTTGTCTAACTATCACAGATATGCAGTTGGTCCAATAAAAGATATTACCCTAAGAAATCCTTGCTTCTCACTGTTTAA